CTATTTTATTAAATCTTAACGGGGATTTTTGGGATTAAGGCTGTTTTGAGGAACACTTTTCTTCTTATTTCTTAAGATTTGATTATGAATTCCATTCAAATTAAGGTTTGTTCAATCTTAAAACCTCTAAGGTATCTTTAAAGCAGAATTCCTAAAACCATACTACGCGATACTGTGCCGCTCAAAATCTACAAATATGCTGCAAAATGAATTGCAATAAAGTAAATTCTCCTAGTTATTTGTTTTTATAGCGTCGCAGTTTAATTTGTTTATAAACTACTGCTTTAAACAGTCGATGAAGTCATACCAAATCTTTAAAGTTATCAATTAAATTTATATCTTAAAGAATTCATGTTCAAAAAGAATCAATTTTTAGATATTGATTGAAGCTTTAATTTCAAAAATAGAATCAATAAATATTCAATACTTTACGACCAATAAATTATAGAATTGCTACTTATTATTTAAATTGGAAATAGAGGAGCTTATGATGTTCTTAGAATTCTTTTATATTGAATTGAATTCTATCCAACCATTTAATTAACGCCTTACGATTCATAGGAGATCAATAGAAACTAATCATCATCAGCAGCAGACTGTATTTCTACCTGTTGTATTTAAATTTCCTACTAATTCAAATTTGGAATTACTTTAAATTTGTAGATTAAATGACTATAATTTAAAACTACGAACACAAATTTTTGATTTTGTGAAACTTTTTTTTTTGTTGACTTAATTTGAGTTCCTTTACAATGAAAAGTTTTTAATTAGAGAATTTAATTATTTGTTTTAAGAGGGAAGAGGAGGAGACGATTTATAAAAGTTCAAACAATTTTTTTTCTTCATCCAAATTTTTTGGCAAAGGAAGGGGAAGTCGTAAAAGTAGTTTTTTTGCGTGACATAATTTGCGAATGATCCCTAAATTGAATACAGAATTAATTAAGCTTTATCGGTGTAAAATCATTAAAATGCATCACAAATGATATTGGTAATCGTGAACAAGAGACAGTTCCCGAATAGCACAAGTCGGTTTATCAAATAGAAATCTGGCATAAAGCCAGCGTGACGCTAGGATGGTACTAGACTTAAATTGCCAGCTCTGTGTCAGAATTCACCAGATTGGTGCTTGGTTTCTATTCGATTTACCGACTTGTGCTTTTCAGTAGTTGTAGCTGATAATTCACAACTTGAAGATAGTGAGTTGCTGGGAATTCGAGAGTTGTCTGGAGTAAAGACCAGGAAAGCAGGGGATTCAAAAATTCATTGATTTGTGTACTAAGTTCAAAAAACTTATTCTATATCTATTAGAATATTAAATATTAATATTCATAAAATAACAGATCATCCCACAATTACTAGCTCATCAATAACTTCATCGTGTCACATTTTATAACATAATTAACTTATCATATTTCACATTAAATCAATTGCCGACTAATTTTCTAGGTCATTTGTCAATTTCAAGTCAATTTATAAAGAATTCATGCTTGAGCAATTGTTCATTGGAATGTCTTTGAAAATTAAAGACAGAGTTGTTAGCAGTGAAGTTACGAATTATGCAGATGTTTGCTGTGAATCTAGCTTCGGCTAGGCAATATTTTTTTCCTTTCACAGGCACAGATCTGTCGCAGATCTGTTATATCTGTGGGTAGATTTGAAAGATCTGTGATGGATCTGTGACCTGTGCCTAGGGTTTGGGGAACCTGTTAACAAAAAACAGAAAAACAGCTGTTTTTCGACAAAAATCTGTTAACAGAAAACAGGTCTCAAAAACAGATCTGTTTTCTGTTTTTCATTTTTAAAATATAATTTACAGACAAAAATTTTTCTTTATTTTTTGAAGAACTTAATATAGTTTTCTAGAATTCCAAATTGAAATGTATTTACTATTTTAAATTTTTTTGATGTGGAATAGGTTTGAAATCATTATCAAATTTATGATTAATCATTACTAATTTTGCAATCGAAATTTTAAATTTGTTGAACCTTTTGTAGCATTTACTAAAGTTCAAAAATATAATCAACAATTTTGCAAGATAATTTTTTATTTAGAAAGATTTTTTTGAATATTTCAAATAAAATATTAGAGTTTATGGAACTTTTGCAATGCAACAATACAATGTTTCTTAAAAGAATAAATATTTTTTTTTGAATTTTTATATTTCATTATATTTTAAAGAGTTAATTAATGAAAAATTAAGAAAAAATAATGCTTAGCTCTATAATGTATGCTTAACTGCAGGGGCGTAGCCAGGGGGGGGGGGGCATAGGGGGCCCGGCCCCCCTACGAAAATCTGATAATTGTTTTATTAAGTATTTATAGAGAAGAACCAGTTAATGTAGAGGAAGTGATAAAAGAAATGTCAAAATCAGCACGAAAAATTAAATTTAATGTATGAATAATGAATTAAATATTTAAACTTATGAAGAATGAATATAGATTTAAGGATACAAAATAACGGTTTTTTAATTTTCGAAAATGGGCCCCCTCTTAAAAATTTTCTGGCTACGCCCCTGCTTAACTGCTTAAAACCACCAAAAAGTTTCATTATCTTAGACAAACACTTAGGATAACTCAGTTTATTTTGAATTCTAGAAAAACAGGAAAACAGCTGTTTTTAAAAATCAAAAACCGACTGTTTTTCAAAAACAGCTGTTTTCCACAAATCCTACCTGTGCCGACAGATCGTGTGTGACTGCCGACCTGTATCGCAACTCTGCATTTTTATACTTATTGCTTCAGATACAACTGAGAATTTTGGGAAATCACAAAAATTATCGCAGAATAAAGTTTGAGAAGCCTTCCTTGGTTTAGATATAATCTGTACCGTACATTAGATCAGTTATTCTCTAGCATGCATTAGCTTGCGTGTGATCTAGACTTAATGTGCTTTCTTAGATCCGAAAAAAAAAATTTATTGAGCATTGTTCGAAACCTATCGTCGAAATTGGACACAAATCATTGACAGAATTGTTTTCAAATGAATCGATAACTCAGATCCAATTCTTCTGTGACTTCTTAATATCCATAACCTCATCACAACTCTGATTGCATAATTAGCTGTAAAGTTCAGAGGACTTTAGACGTCTGGAGTGTTAAATTATTCTCCTTCCAATATTAAAATGGAGTCTAAGTATAAGTTCATGATTCTTATACAATTTAAAGGATCTGTAATGTAGAGGAAAATATTTATACAAAAATGTGTTATTGATCTCGTATTACTGAGTAATTCTTTAAAGTGCCACGGGTGTTTCACCTTTGCAGATAAATGAGGAAAACGATTAGGGGTGTTCTGAGGTTTGGTATGGCTCTAAGTACTTTACAATTACGTAATCATAGAGATCAACAACAAAAAAAGGGTTCTTCTCAAGATTGAGAGGTCAAAAATTGCAGTTATCTATACCACGTAACATGCAAATGATCCCCAAATGTAAATGATTCTCTAAGGGGCCGTTCACTTATGACGTCCAACATTTAGGCTGGAGGGGGTCTAGGATTTTGTGACAGTTCAAAAAATGGAAATTTTTTTCTATAGAATTTTTGTGACAGAGGGGGGGCGGGGGAAGGGGGTCTATAAATCAGGATTTTTGATGGACGTCATAAGTGAACGACCTTAATATGATTTAAAAATAAAGTATTAAATAAATCAAATTTTACTAAAAGCACAAATGTAGCTGCAAAGAAGGAAAAGTTCAAGGAAAATGTTTAGAATTGGATGTCATGTGATCATTCCCTTGGTTAAACACGCGGCAAAATGCGAGATTTTTTTTTAAGAATCTTGTTTGTTAAAGCAACTCAAAAATGCTTGTTACTTCCACTTCGGCATTTGAAATATGATGATTTCATTATTTTGCCTTTCCTCCGCATTGAATATCAGACGCGTCTCTTTTCATATCAGTAAAAGAATCATGTGCTTTTGTTTATATGAATCACAGCAGAACATATTGCTGCTCAAAATATGTGGATGGCAACAGATATTGATTAAATTTAGCGAAACGAGCTTTACAGATAGATATTGATTTTTATTCTTGGTAAGAATGCTTTAAAGTAATTGAATTTAATGCGATTATAGCTTTTTGAGAAAATAGAAATGAGGAATCGTGACAGATTGAAGCACACTTAGTTTGTAATTAATCATATGATTCTTTGGAAAACTGTAAAGGATTAAGATGTTTCTGTGAAAATTTAATGTTGAAGGATTTTAGATGCGGAATGAAAGTTGCATTTGAGTTTTAAGCTACATCTAGGCTTCAATCAAGAGCATCTTTAGATCTGAGTTGAAAAAATATAAGTATCGACCTTAAGTTACTATAGAACTAGAAAACTAAAGAAAATTCTGTGCCTCATTCTTTAGCCATAGAGAATTTTCTATTTTCCAGCTTCTGGGGCTACATTAATAGATAGCGGGAGAATCAACGTTAATTAAACTTATAATTTATTCATAAGACTTCTAGTTCCTTAAATGTGAGAGAGTGCGGAGTTATTTAAATCCAAAATTAATGTATCAAAGTCAAGTTGAGAGGGGTTTGCAATTAGGACAAATTATTCAAATCTCAAAAGTTCGTTATTTTTTCAAATGGTTGGTTAAACGATCTTTTTTTTTGAAGAAAAATATGTAACTTCAATTTGTTACTTAACAAGCAAACACAATCACAGATCTATGAATTTAATAAAAAAAATCATTTATCTCAATCGCAAAAGAAACATCCAAGCAATAATCAAGCTCAGACGAAGTATTTTGTAATAAAATTAATTAATGAATCCGATATTTGCGGAATACAGATTGAAGTGTTGGGAATCTGTTGCTCATGCACTTACAAAATTCAATATTCAAGTCAGTCTCATTATGCATCACAATGGAACAAAAGCTGTGAATAATTAATTTACTTTAATTTAATTCATCCTCATAAATTGACTTATAAAGTTTTCTACCAAAAAACGTGAGCTTCCGAGAATATTTTATGAGTCTCATGGCGGCAATTTGTTTTTTTATTTTTGCAGATTATTAAGCTTGACAATGACATTCACGAGTTGAAAAAAAAAAGAGATAAAAATAGAAAGTTATAATTAGCTATAATTGTGATAATATTTAGAAGAAAAAGTTATTAATTAATGCACGATGCCTTGTAAACAAAAAATTGCCTAAGGAAATTAAAGTTTATAAAAGAAGTAAAGGAAGAAGAGCACAAAAATGTCTACAATAATGACAACATTAATGACCCCAACAATAATATCCTCAACGCCTATAAGCATAGACAGTCAAACGATTAATATTACTTCGGAGACATGCTTCTCGAAATTTGAGGATTTTTTATATGCAGCAGACACAAGTGAGTAAATATCTTAGGTTGCTTTTATTATTAATGTTTTGATAGCTTACATCATCCCTTCGCCCACCTTTTTAAGAATCATAAGCTACTCTGCATATTTGGAGTTCTTAAAGCCACTTAAGGTCAATTAAAGGTGATATGTAGTCACTTTTAAGGCCTTTTTTGTCCAAACCTAGGCAATTAGTACTGAACTTACAGCTCATAGTGGGATCCGAACCAATCTTTTCTCGGCATTCCTACCTGTAGCCTACTAAGGAAGACTGTGAGCTTCTTTTCAGTATAAATGGTTTGAATAAGAACAAATGAAAAATTTCCCATACCGAGTCTCGAACGCATGATAGCTGCGCCGGTATTGCAATAATTAAGTACCGAAGTACTAAACCTTTCTGCAACTGAGCCACTTCAGCTCAGTCTTACGGGGATTCATCCTTAAAGAAAATGCTTAATGTCACAAAAATTTTCTGATAATTCAATTACAAAAATAAGATAAACTTTTTAAGGAATTACCTGCTGAAAATTATTGACCTTATAATACGAGCAAGAATGTTGACAATTTTTCTAACTTAACTCACGCCAAGTATTAAATGGAATTTTCAGACTAGACATAATCACAAGAATGTTTCCAAAAGATTAGTCTAAAGAATAATGAGTTGAGGTTTGAACAGTCAAGTCAAGCATACTTTTGTCTTCGTCGGTAAAATAATTTTACTTTAAAAATATTCATGTCTTAGGGGAAATAAATTTAATAGACGAAATTTACAGAGTTTCGTTGATGTTAAATCTATCTTTGTGATAAATTGAAGAGGAAAACAACATAAAGGGTAATAGTATTGATGAGAAATTGTCTACAGCTTCTCTCAATGTCTCTCTTCAAACATTTTAGTGAGAAATAGTGTGAAATCTGTTAAAAACAGCCATGCTTGTTAAATGATTAAAATTTTACACCAAAACATTTTCCCATCAAGTTGTTTTCCCCTTGAATAACATTTTTTAAAATTTAATTTTTTCAATTCTTTCAGTATACTGTAATTGGACATACGATAGCTTATTGTGTTGGCCTCCAACAAAATCAGGTGAAACTGCAAGACTTCGCTGCCCTCCAGGAAGAGGAATAGATCCATCAAGTAAGTTATATTTGATTTATTACATTTTGTTATAATTACTGGCTTTAATCAAAACTGAAATTTAAGCCGATAGGCATGAATAAAATAAATGCCGGGTTCTTTTTTTCTAAGGTTTTTATGAAAAAAATCACAAAAATAACGCCCCCCCCCCTTAAATTTTTCCATACAAAATTTTTTTTTGCCCTCTCCCCTCTTTAAATTCCTGGCTACGCCCCTGGTTTCTTAAAAATCAAAAAGTGAATTAAGCCCAGAAATCAGCTTTTATTAAGCAATATATCAATTATTTGTATCCCATAAACCCAAAAACCAGCCCCTGAAAATTAAAATATTCAATCCCTTGCATAAATCCGAATGAAGCTACACAATAAATTATTTTAATCTAAAAAGGTTTTTCTATGAACACAAAATGTACATTTTGTCTATACGTTACAAATGTCAACAACATTAATGCACAATATAGAGCATTATCTACGTTAAGGTGCATGATTATGACAGATTTATTACAATAAATTGTACTCGTGATATTAATTTCGCTATTACATTTTTTGAACATATTTTTTTTGTGATATTGAAACAACGATTATCTTCAAATTATTGTGTTTAAATGTCTGTTTCCAGAAAAATTATGGATTTTTTTTTTTATTCGAGTTTGAAATTGAATTTCGGAAATAAAAAAATAAATAAAATTGTTCGTTATTTGAAAAGCATCTTGAGCATTACATATCGGGACAATGAAATATGTAAGCTTAGTCAAGGGGAAGACAACATTGTTGGGAATAATTCTGGGATTGAAAAAAAAAAATCTTAATCAATGTCTTTGTCAGGCAAACTAAGTTTGAGTAGATTTGTAATATTTTTATCTCTCTTGATAATGTTCCATAATGTCTAAAATGGGACATTCTGTAAGCTACATATATATGAAAATACAATCCGTTATGATTGAGAAAATTTAATAATCAAATAAATCAATTCAAAATTTAATTTTCATCGATTTATATTTCAAAAATTAATAATGTAGAAATTTGTTCACTGTAGCTGTCATAAATAGATCACCAGCTGCTCGAAAACTAATTCCTTATCATAAATTAATGAATTCTTAAATCATCGCTTAGCAGATGAGCTATGGGAATTGAGTAGTTATGATTTCTTATTCAACACAGTTTAGGACCGTTCACTTATTACGTAACGCGAAAAAAACGACTTTTTAGACCCCCCCCCCCTCCCCCCTCGTAACAAAATTTGTATGAAAAAATTTCTTTTGTTTGAACCGTAACAAACTCTTAGACCCCTTCCCTCCTAAAAGCGTTACGTAATAAGTGAATGGCCCATTTGCTTTTAATCTTTTTCTATTGAAAATCATCGTACACAAGTAAGGAAATTTCCATTTCAAGTCAACAACTTTTGGTGATTTCAGAAAGTTTTGTTCTAAATAAAGACTTTTTCATGTCCAATAATTCAAACATTGTTTAAGGAATGTGAACAAAGTATGAAAATTTCGTAGCAAGGTCCAAATCAAAAAGTTGCAACCCTTGCATGGAATTTAGCACTTTCTTTAATAACCAAGGCATTAATCGGCAAATCATTATCACGTAAAGCTTTAAACAGCCATGACAACACTAAACTTAATCAAGAATAAACAACATTAAAGTTACATTGTCATGAAACTTTAATGAAAAAATTGTTCACATTTCACGGAGAAGACGAGATAGATAGCATAAAGTATCAAAAGCTGAATAAGAACTCTTTGATTCCACACTTGAAATACTTCGTAATTGAGAAGAAAGAAATCGAGAATTTTAAAAAAGAATCTTTTACGATGTCCTTTTCCTTCATCTTCTAATTAAAACGACTTTCTTTTTTCTGCAACAAGCATTAATTATTGAAAAAGAAACGAGGAATGGACAAAAAAAAGCGAAGTGCATTCATTTTGTGACTTCCATTTTTCTCCATTAAACTTTCATTCTTAACATTACATAAAAGAACTTAAAAAAAGATTGCAGAAAAAAACTGTTGTGATAAGAAAATTATGCGAAAACGGAAGTAATATAAATCCTAAGTGAATTAATAATAAACATCACTTTAATGGAGGCACTCTGGAGATCATTAATGATGTTTATTAAGAATTCAAACTTCGGAAATTGTTCAATAGCTTTAAGATGCAAAGGGAGCATTTAGGTATAAATTAACGCTTCCTCTTCCTGGCTACCTTGATTGAATTGCTACACAATTTTTAGTTCTGGTTTTGTGAATGCTTGGAGTCAATCATAAATGACGTTGATTATAAAATTGAATTTAAAGGGAATTTAAAAGAAGAAGTTGATTTTTAGGAAGGATTAAGTGATTCTGAATTCTTCCCACTTCTTACTGGCTTACTTATTTTGATAATCGTACAGATCAATTGTGATCGATGACCTCCCTCTTTCGCTGGCTACCGTTTGCCAAATTCTAATTCCAAATGCAATCCTGTCTCTATCAACAGCCTCCTTCCATGAGTTCTTTGGCCTTTCTCTCCGCTCTATACTGACCAATTCCTTGGTACCTTTTCAAATATGATAGTTCCATATCACCAATAATATTCTCCTGTATTTCTGCATCATGCCAACAGTTGCATTCTGTGTTTTTTGAAACTCAAAGACAGTGTTGTCCAAACAAGCGTAAGCCATGAATGAAGTAGAACACAGCTTGCGGCTAGAGTCATTTCCAAAAGAAATTTACGGCATATAATTCGAACAAACTGCTTAGAGATGAAAATAAACCTCTAATTTAGAACGTTTAAAGATATAGGGCCGTTCGCTTATTACGTTCGCATTTTTGGGGGGAGGGGAAGTTTGAAAAATGGTAAAAAAATTTTCCACTTTTTTAATGATTTATGAACGTTCCGGGGGAAGGGGGGGTTGAATTGTGAGTTGTAACATATTGTAACAAGGGGGGAGGGGGGGGGGGGATGAAAAAAAGTCGTTTTTTTTGCGTAACGTAATAAGTGTGACCCATGCTACGGACATTTCAGAGTCGAATTTTTTCGACATGTTTGAATTTAGTCGACCTAGCGTTTGAATATTTTAAAACCGTTAAAAGTTTGTCAATTTTAAGATTTTGAGCATTAATATTTAATTTCTAGTATTTTTCTTGGATGATTTTAGCTAAACTTAGCTAAACACGAAGCTAAGAATAAGAATCGTTTGCCCAAGCCTTGGTTTTGCCAGTGTTTGCAAGAAATATTCATGAAAATTAAACGGTTTTTTGAAATTCAAAGCAAAAAATAACGGATTTTTCGACGTGTCCGTAGCATGGTGTGACCATCATGACCATCATGACCATCAAGTTTCATGTGTCATGATCAGCTGTTGAAAAACTTTATCACTAGGATGGTATCAGATGCTTCTTTATTATATTTATTGTTGGAAACTTATCATGGTGACTTTTTCTTGTCTTTTGAAACTGTAAACCAGCTCATATTTAATCGCAGGGCCGAACATTTAATTCGAACAATTATAATAAAAATCTGAATTGGTACGAACCGTGACCCGCAGTACGTGAGCTCCTGTGCTAGACCTTTCAACATCTTTTTCTTCAGTAGCTTTAATTTTTTGAATTTTAAGTTGAAAAAAATTCATTTTTCGTCTACTTTATCTTTTTTGTAGCTACTTATACCTTCAAACCTATTTTTTTCGTGTTTATTTTTACAAATTCATGAGAACATAATGAGATAGACTGTTTAAAAGGTCGTGTCGTCTCTAAATTTTTTTCCAATTTATTTTGGCTATTCTTGTGAAGGTTAAAGTTTATGAGATAAAAACTAAAGATAAAACAATTTATCATAGATTGTTGGTCGTCTGTCTCAACTCAAACACGTGTTCGGTGCTGAATATTTAATCTCTTCTAACACATTTTTATTTTTGGGTGAAATTTTCTTTTGTTGAATAATAATAGAGCTCATATATCGTTCAATCAAGGTCTATCGTTCCTTAAGAATGAAAAAGTTGACAGAAGGATGGATGCATACATATTATTAAGGCTTATTGAGAAGATAAATTTGGAATTCTCAGAGATAGAAAAAGTTTGACTTTTACATAATAATCAGCTCAATGCGTCTCTAAATGTGTTAAGGATTCCAAGAAGATTTTTTTTGTATTGAAATATAATTTTATTATAATGCTCAGCTTCTCATGACAGAAAATTAAAATGTTCTTGGAAAAAGTTCTGCGTGAACGCAAACGTTGTGTCTGTCTGTTATATAATTTTCCTAGAAATTTAATGTTGAAGCTTACATCTCAAGGAAATTCACGGTGATCTAAATTATTATCAACCCCCATTCATAATGGATTGAGAAGTTTAATTCTTAGAATTTACTTGTTTTTATAAAATAGTGTAGTCGGGAGCTGCTTACTAATGACTTTCAAACACTTTGCACTACCTTCCACAATTGTTTTAAAAGCTGAAAAGAGCACCATAAATTGGTATTTGGAACGTAAAATTGTGGCATTAAATCGGATCATCTTAAATCTAAAATGTCAATTGCTTTGTAACCCAAACATGTAAATATTCTTTTCGATGTTAAATTCACGCATCATTATTTTTAATACATTTCTAGGAATCAGAAAAGGTAATCGGATATTCTCTGCTTACTGTTTTTATGGATGTGTAGAGATACGTAAATAATAATTTGATTTATTGGATATAAAAAAAGGGTGTTGGGGGTTTTCACTGATTATTAAATGCTTTTGATCTAAAATTAAGTTTTGAGGTTGTCAATTTATTATTGGAAATAGTCAAATTTCGTTGGGTATCTGGAATTGGTTTCTAGGACTTTTTGGAGCACTTTATCCTAACATTTTATTTATCAGACTTTAATCTTAAACTAAGGTGTCTCAGGTAGCACTAGAATCTGACTCTTGAGTTTGATGCTTACTCAAATAATAAGGACAGATCTAGTTATTTGTTGGTTATGACTAATTCCTTCAGAATGCAGACTTAAATTGTTAAATTGACGATTTAAAAGACTTTAAATGAATTATTTTAACATTCAACGACCTTAAAACTTAAACAGTAGATTTAAAGTGCCTTTTTTATTTGAAATGATAAGCATTAAACCAAATTGAAGAAATTGTAAACAAAAATATAAATAAATTTAACAACGTTTTCAAAACATAATACCTGATACATCTCATATAAATTTACAAAGCATAAAAGCTGCACGTGAAAATTTTTGAATGAACTTAGTCTATAAATAATTCTACAAACCTATTTGCATGGATAAATTCCTTTATATTATTAAATCTGAATTATCATTCAGAATAAGCAGATTATTATGCATATTATGCCGCATTGCTGTGCTAGTAAGTTGCTTGCTGATGGTAAATTCGTTATTGCAACTAAATGAAGTTATGCCATAATAATCGATGCAATATCAGCTTAGTAGTGATTTTGACATCATTCATCAACATTTAATCTCGTTTACGATAACTTCAGTTAATTGCATCCAAGTATCGAGCGGTTTCAACACAGTATCAGATTACTTCTTTCAAGACATTTTCTCAATCTTCAATTTAAATCTTTAAGAATTTTATTTCAACAATTCTCCCCTTCAAATATTTAAGAATGCTGAAAACAAATCAATTCACATTTAAATAAAATATTCATAAATGCATCACAATCCATCCAGACATACATTCACTCATATCGTTTTCATTTGTAACTTGCCATATTTCCCAATGCTCAGTTCACTAACATAAAAAGCTTTTGATATGGGAAAAAATGATGGTAAATGACAGAAGATGTAACATACCAAACATAAGCAGAACAAAAGAAGAAAAAAAAAATAGGAAGAGGAACTGGAAAAGGAAAACAAAACACAAAGTACATCTCAAAGGAACCAAAGATTTTTTTCTTAGTGCTATTTAAAGATGAACAGCAAGCATTAGTGGAGGAATGGTAAGACGGTGAAATGTATTCTATGGAGAATTGGGGATAGAGCGCATTTTGGAGTTGGAAGTCGCCAAATCTCATATCTTGGTTATATTTTGTCGTGGTCTAGAGCAATTTCGTCCAAACTGTGTGCTGTAGAAATTTTTTGAAAATTACACGAGTTGCATGCCGCATGCGACTTCAGTTATGGCTTACCCCTAAGGTGTGCAGTGGCTCAAAAAGTTTGGACAGCACTTGTCTAAAGCATCGTCCATGTAATCATCTATGAACAACCCCACATCAAGAGATCCAAACCATCTGACTAATTCTTAAGTCAGCAAACCAAATGCCTCTAATGATAACAAAACAACATAGTCACTTAGACACACAGTCATACAAAACAATGCCACAATCCCTAATATCAATCCGAACAGCAGGAATGCATTAAAGATCTCAAGTGCATCAGCAACAATTTTAAAGATAATTTTTCTTCATTCATAAAATGCATTTTTTTTACATAAAAATTTCTATGCGATGAAGGTCAACAATCTGTTTCAGCTTGCAGTAAAGCTTCTCTTTCATGGACGAATAGGATGAAAATGATCTTGAATAAGAAAATTGCTTAAGTATTCAGTTTTTCTATATTCATCGTTGCTTAAACGCTCATCGACATACAGTTTTACATAACAATAATAATATTAAAAGAAAAGAAGACTAAAAGACACGATAAGGAGCGTAAAAGTGATGACTGGTGTGATTTGCCCTGAAAAGAACGCAAAGTTGAAAGGAATGAAAATTATCGACAATTTTTTTCTTCTTTCGCTGGTGGCGTTCAAGAGCAAGAACGTTTCATTTTCTGAAGAGATGGCATGTAATTGATACGTGGGGAATCTATCTACTTATACAAGTATCGATTTGCTACTTGAAATATAAACTTTGTTGATGTCGTGCATGCTGTGATTGAGGATATAGTGGAATTAATTTCTATCTTTGATTTTCGATGTTGCTGAAAAGATGCGGGGTTAGATTTTTTTTTGATGGGGTATGTACGTTTGGGGAAGGGGTCTGCATCTTGCAAAATTAAGATACTTTCCATCGCAACAGCTGCTTGGTAATCCAACAATTTAAATAGAATTGAAGCAAAATGTTTTTTACTGTCATTACTACGCTATCCAACAGGTTAACTACTGAGGATATTCTAGTCATACTCGCAGATGTAAAAGGGTGTAACTTGAGGTTAAGAAGTAGGGTTGGTCAGAATCGTATTCGAATATATTTGAATATAATGTGCGCATATATTCGATATATATATATTAATATATACATAATTCAAAAAATAACCGTTATTAATCGTGATTTTTTTTAAATAAATGTTTAACAATTAATTAAATAACTTACAACTAAAATATCGACGTATTTGGCTAAAGAAAGTACTTCCATTGCTTTTCCATTAAAATTAGATCTATTTTAGGAATTGTTTAACATGATTTTTTCAATTGAAAAATTTGATATCAAAGAATATTTGAAGTCGCTTTTTAAAAAATGTTAACGGTCAATAAATATTTGAATATTTGATAATTACATAGTTCGTTCCAATGAATTTCCATATAGAAAAAGTTTTTCATTTAACGGTCTTTTGAGATTCAAATTTTCTAACAGTCAGTAAGTTTTTGAAAGCTTTTTGCCAAAGGATACACAAAAAATCATTAATTATAGCATATTTAACAATTTAATATCTTTAATTCTCATATATGAATTGTTTATCATTTACAAATTACAGGCAAGTTGAAAAATGCTAATCAACAAATAACGTATTTTTTTCATTTTTGAATTTCTAATATTCGAATATTTGCCCAACCCTATTAAGAAGGGGGGGGGGGGGGGGGGGGGGGGAGGAGGTTGAGGTCAAAATCCTTAACTAATATTAAAGCTCTTCCACAATTTTACAATTTCATTAAAAAAATCTTTAAACATTCTGTATACTCATTTCTCCTCACTAGGATTATATATATATGTACATTTTAATATAATGATGTGAATTTGTAGAGAAGAATTTAATGTGTTTGAAGGTTTCTCATTCGTTACATCCTACTTTCATTAGTAAATTGAGTTTGATGAACTCAGATAGGTTTCTAGGATTGGTTTCAACCATGAATTACACTCTGAAGCAGGGTTGCGATTCAGGCACCTGTGCACAGATGAGAACCGTACAATTTCTTAATAATTTGTGACGTTTTATTAGAATTTGTATGGTTTTGATAAAAAAAACTTTGAAAATTACAAAGGAATTGTACAGTTCTCACCTGTGCACAGGTACCTGTATCGCAACTCTGCTCTGCAGTTCACATAAAGCTGTGATTAGGGCAGAAAGCTCCATTGATCATTATTTCAATAGCTGACTATCATATGGGAAATCTGGGAACTTAAAGACACATTTTAAGCATCATATATATTTTTAAAAGCATAACAATTAATTGAATTATCTGGAATTATCCACTATCCTTACATGACGTATTAGAAGACTTAGAAAACATTAAGGATCAAGTTCCTGACTTTTTAATTTGTAACAGACTAATTCGTCTCCATGAAAACTATACACGGGACGTAGCTAGCCTCCATTTTACAAATAAAGCTGTGTAAAGAAACTTTTGATTAAGTTAAAATTACATTCTTGATCAGGAATTTTTTAAAATTTTTTTAACATTCTGCGATTCCTCCAAAAAGTTAATTTATAAAGCAGCTCTTCATTTTACAGATTAAAAAGCTACATAGAATCCAATTTTGCTCTTGTGAATTTTTGCCGTTGAGCAATGGACTTTACAATGCAATGTGCATATATATTTATCGAAATCGGATGAAGCTACTTGAACAATACAAGCTGAAGAGATGTTTGAGATGCACACGAGGAAAAAAAATTTCAATTACATAAATTTCTATCTGTGGATATCTACAGATGCTTTTATCGTGCAGAATAATGCACAATATGTAGATGTTTTCATGTGAATCTTATTAAGCATATGATGATAAAATTTTATTTTGAAATCGATTACATAATCATCTTGGTGCATTTGCTTATCAAATTACAATATGATTTAAATGCAGATACATCCATAATAATTTATTGACCTGTTTATAAACTTCTTGTAATTTTTTGTAGAATTCGCTGAGCGTCGCTGCAGCAATGATGGAAAGTGGGAAGGAAGACTAGGGTCAACAGATAGTGCACGAGGATGGACGAACTATACACCATGTTATCTACCAGAAATTTTAGAGCTAATCACAAAAATGGGTGAAGATAGAGGGGTAAAGAAACATTTGTTAATTATTGATGTAGGTGTAGTTCAAATGGTGCAGGGTTGCGATACAGGCACCTGTGCAGAGGTAAGAACTGTACAATTCCTTGATAATTTGTATGGTTTTTATAACAAAGCCTTACAAATTCTAATAAAACCTTATTAATTATTAGAAATTGTACGGATCTTACCTGTGCACAAGTGCCTGTATCGCAACCCTGAAATGGCGAAAGTTTCTTAGTTTTGTGTTCAGGAACCAAAATGTACCCGTTAAATTTCAAAATTTGAATTTCTAAACGAACGCCATTTATTTTGGAAAATTCACATTTTATCAATTATTTAATGGTTTAAGCTGCATCAAGCTGCATGAAAGCTTACTCAAGCTTTTACTGATAATCTAAACAGAGAACTACTTGTAATCAAAGGGGCCGTTCACTTATGACGTCCGACATTTAGGGGGGGGGGTCTAAGATTTTATGACAGTTCAAACAATGGGTTTTTTTTCTATAGAATTTTTGTAACAGAGGGGGGGAGGGGGGTCTAAGATCAGGTTTTTTGATGGACGTCATAAGTGAACGACCCCAAATCAATTTTTTACAAATAAATTCAATATTTATTTTTTGAAAATGTTTGATAATGTTAGTGTTGAATCAATTTTTTTTGAATTTAACGGTAAGATTGCTGTTTGCCACCCCTGGACCAAAAATATATAAAAAGAGATGTGAAAATTAAATTTTTTTATCAAATTTATGCTCACTTGTAATTGAAATAATTTTCAACATTTAACTATACTTTGTATTAATTCGTCTATTTAATTAGTCATTAAGTTAATGAAGCAATTTTGAATTGCAATTAAAATGATTCTATAGACAAAAGTTGAAGAATTAAATTGGTACAGGAACTTAACGAAAAACACGGATGTTAAAATTAATTTAAAATCCAACCGGAAAGTCATTTTATATTAGAAATTTGTAGATTTGCTGAAAATTGCGAAAAAGTCAATAAAATTCATCGCCAACAAAGTTAGGAGAGTGAAAAAAAAAGTTTTTACATTGAAACTTATCAGCATATTTTAATTTTATGATCATAGCTTCAACGAGCAATATTGAATTCCTTTCATTCTTTTCACAGATTAAAATGAAAATTGCTGAGCGAACGCGAACGATGGAGATTATTGGTTTAAGCATTTCTCTATTAGCATTAGTTGTATCACTTATCATATTTTATCGATTTCGGTGAGTTTTATGAGATTTTAGTTCCTAGAACTTGACTTTTGATTAATTTCATGCCAAAATGATCTGATTCCATTTCCATAATATTTCACAATAATCCCAAAAAATATATCTTTAGAAGCCTTCGTAATAACCGAACGAGAATTCATAAAAATTTATTTATTGCTATGGTAATTCAAGTCCTCATACGATTAATATTGTACATAGATCAGGTAATTTATTTACATGTAAAATTAAAATTTCAGATGATTAATGATGTTTATGTCTTCTTTTAATGTTTAACAGGCAATTTCAAGAGCTGGTGATGAGGGGAGTCATGGAATTGACAATACGGTAATTATCTGCTTTGTTGATTTATTAATGGAAGGTGCGAGTGCTTACTTTTGAGTTTATTATGGCTTGTGACTTTAATAAGTTGTTGGTTTTTATTTGTAAAGACTTTAGAGTGCTTTAAAGAAACCTGAAAATGCTTTTGTGTTGATTTTTCATTACCAAGAAAAGACGATGTCAAGAATCAGATCTCGAAGTCGACTCGAGATTTTCATCGATTTTGTACGATATCATCGACTTCGAGCTCTGTCAAGAATATCAACCTGCATTTCAAAATTTCCCAAATCTGAATCAAATATTACAATCTTACCATCAAAAGATGTAAACGATGATCCACAACGTTTCATTTTCAATTGAATTCTACCAAACTGAACATAAATATTTATTTGAATACTAAATATCAATGGAAAATGTACATTGCATGTGGGCTTGTCTGATTATTCAGAAAATCTGTAATGTGATTCGTGTACTGAGGATTTTATAATTGAATTTTATGCTGATGTTCGTTACCAGTAAATTAAAGAGTTTGTTGCAGATTTTAGCAACTGATTGATATTGTAAGGTTTTATGATTGACTAAAATTCTCCAAAATTCAAAAATTAATTTTTGAATCTAATCGACTCTATTCAGCATTTTCGTTCGAAATCTAATTTGGATTCAATCAAAACTGCTCACATGACATTCAAATTAGTCAATAACTGCTGTTTAGAAATTTAATCGATTTTAATTTTTCAAACATCAATCCGCAATAACGAGGTTATTATAAGGGAGAAAAATATCAATATTCGATTAAAATGTCAATAGCAAATAGTTATTTAAAAACCGAGGACATTGCATCAATTGTCTTGAAGTCCGAACACCACAATCTGTTTGAAAATTAATTTCTTTTGAATCATGAATTGAAATGTTCTTAAAGCTTACATTGAGACACATTCGATAAATTGTTTATTAATAAGAATGAGTCTATTGACATTAAATTGTTTTGTTTATTGGACTTATGCATGAAAAAGAGCTGATTCTAAATCTATTGTTTTTAAGGTTAAATCCTTAAAGTTTATTATAGGAATTCTCTTTGTTAAATTGATTTATATTGCGCTAGGCTTCATTTTGTGAGTCATTGAGGATGATTAAGGTTCATCCCTTTGCGAGTCCTTGTCACACTGACAACAACTCCGTAATGATTAACATATCAAAGGTGCAGAATTGACCAAATTGATTAAAAATGTATGAAAATCATTTACACCATTGTTGAGAGATTGAACTCTGTTGGAATCGAACCAACATCGTCAATAAAAATAGAATTATGGACTTCTGATGCTTATAGCTTAACCATTTGCCCACAAAGACCTCATTCTCGCATAAAAGATTCATTTGTACATATTGCACCATTCTCAGACCCCATTCTAACACATATTCCATAAAAATGACAGTAAAAAACGATAATTGCAACCATGGTTACTACACATTTAGGAAGTGGTGTGTGAATTTCATACGGAACTATCATCGTCAACATATCAATGAATATTTGCTTCTAATTAGCGTACCACGGTTAAGTGCAGCTTCATAATTTGATAGAAAATTCGGGAACAATAATCCAGCACGTAAAATCTTTGTTATAAAATTCCTGCAGACACGTGTGGCATAATTTAATGCAGTTCTATGCTGTTATGCATTGTAATTAAAGCATTTAAGCAAATATCTCAATTTTATTTATTCATTACTGATACGAACAATTCGATGGTTTCGACCGTTATAGTTTTCAAGAAAACTTGTAAAAATGTCTTATTTGTCTGTCTGCCATACAAAATTCGAAGTTTCATACCCCGCAGTTCGAAATTTTCGAAAATAAGGAAAAAAATAAAAATTAAACTAAGCAAGTTTTAGATGAAATTTAGATGAAAATATTATGTAGTCATTTGATAGTATGCGTAATATAGCTATATCTTTTTTAAAACCATCAAAAACTCTACTAAAATGACAAAAAAAGTGTAACGATTTTTTCAAATTTAAATTTTTCGAACGTGCATATTATAACACCCCTAGACTTTCGGTAAGTCTGTCGAACATGAATTGTTCGTATCAGATTCATTAATTAACTTTTTGTTTTTATCATTTCCATAATATCATTTTGCCTCATGCGACGTGCAGAGTCAGGCTTAATAAATAATGTCTCATATCCATAAAATTTATTTTTTTTACAGCCATATTTATGTGAGGGTTCATACATCCTCCTCGAATATGCACGTACGGCAATGTTTTTATGGATGTTTATTGAGGGCCTTTATCTACACAACGTTGTGACTGTGACAGTTTTTCAGGGACGCTTTCCACATTATCTATATGCATCCATAGGTTGGGGACTTCCCATCATCATGACTGTAAGATATAAATTGAAAATATGAAATAAGCTTTTTCAGGGGGATAACAGCTTGGTGGGAAATGGTTTTAATTTGTAAAAGTACATTTTGTATTTTTTGATAAGTTTGAATTTTAAACAAAATTTTTCCCACTAAGCTGTTATCCCCCTGAACATTTTTTTGACACATATTTCTTTCAGACAATTTGGGCAGCATATACAGCTGTGCAGAAAGTTAATCAAAAGTGCTGGTTTGGATATAATTTAACGCCTTACTATTGGATACTGGAAGGACCTCGTCTGACTGTTATCATAGTGAGTTAAATGCAACATCATCCACAGTTCTTCATAAATTTATTTCAATTTCTTTTTCAATCTGTCATATCCAGTTAAATCTTATATTTCTACTAAACATCATTCGAGTTCTTGTTGTGAAGCTCCGACAAAGCCATACGGGTGAAGTGGAGCAAGTGCGGAAAGCTGTTAGAGCGGCAATTGTTCTCTTGCCATTGTTAGGAATAACAAATATGTTAAATATGGTGAATTCTCCACTAGATCATTCGCCTTTGGAATTTGCTTTATGGTCGTATGGAACGCATTTTTTGACGTCATTTCAAGGATTTTTTATAGCTATGATATATTGCTTCCTTAATGGGGAGGTGAGATGAGAATTTTAATTTTTGTGCATTTTTTCATATAAACTTTTTGGATTGGTTTTGTGTTTTCATGTCTGTTTGTTGGTCAGTTTGTTTGAATATGTGGTTCTATAGCCAAAAATTGTTATCGAGTAACCTCGGGGCTTTCAAACTGAGTGAGACTTTGATGTAAAAACTGTTTGTGGTTTAATGCTTCAATAGATAATTTTAATTTAGGAAAAACAAGTTGGTTTCAATATTTTCTGAGGCTTTATTGGAATTTACTTAAATTGACATTCACAAACAAGATTGTTTTAGTAGGTGCAGTAGGTACAGTAGGGTCCCTCTGAGCATATTCTTTGTTTGTTGAGATTTACGAAGATTTTAAAACTTGGTTTGGTGGGCGGGGAGGAAAGGGTTCAAAAATCATTTGTAGACAACCTTCACAAGAATCGATTCTTTTTTTATTACAGTACGTCTCGTGGATGAATGTCTTCCATAACTTTATCTAATAAACTTTCATCGTCAGTCTTCAGATTTAATTTTTTGATTTCTTTTTATTTTGTCTTGGTGTATATTCAGGTGCGTACCGCGATTCTTAAGTCTATAAGTGTATATATGTCATTACGTGGACACCACGATTGGGCCATGAGACGACCGTCAATGTTCTCTGGTAACTATCCAACTGCTGCCGATACTGAGCAACAAGTGCCACAGCCGTTGAATGTTCATAATATTAATAAGTGAGTGGAAATCAACTGAACTTACTACTTTTAATCTACTCAGCATGCAAAATATTTTTTTATTATAACTTGTAAATATTATTTTTTTAGTTTTTAAAGCTATGTGCTATGTTATGCAGCTTCCTGATATATATTGAATAATGTTATTTTAAGTCTGACAAATTCTTCAAATTGTGTTTGATTTAGAGTTTTAGAAGTTTCAAAATTAAATGCAAATGTTTAAATAATTGACTGCTAATCAGGAATAAGTTTCTAGGGCTCCCTCATTTACTCTTTTTTAGTCAGATTGAATTTTTGTTTTTTCAAAGAATGTAGAACATCAGAATTCAGAAACCGAGCTAATATACGCAGGGGTTCAATAGAGTTAGCTCAATTAGGTTTTGCATGTTTTTGCCAAGGCGTGGAAACTATCCCAAATATCATATTTATCACACATATCCCAAAAATATTCAAAAAATTCCTGAGCATGTATGCTATGGATATAGGATATGATGGGATATCTCAATTCTAATGCATACAGGCTCAGGGATTATTTTGAATATTTTTGGGATATATGGGATGAATGGGATATTTGGGATATTTGGGATAGTTTCCACGCCTTGGTTTTTGCATGAAATATTTGTTTTCCTTTTACAAATTTTTCTCCATTTTTTTAAAAGCTCTATAACAAGCTATTTTTAAAATCGTACAGTATGAGCCTGACGGGTAAAGTTAACATCAAGTATCTTCAGACTAAATTCACATCTAAAAATTATTCAAGCATGAATCTCTTAGCTTCCTAAAAGTTATATTTACAATTGCTTGTAAAATTCCTACAAGTGCCGGAGGTTGAACATTTTTAATATGCATAAAAAAGCATCAAACAATAAAATCAGCATAAAATTAGAAATTTAAAATTTTACGATGAATAGATTTTTGAAGCTGCAAATTTTAGTTTTAAATTTGTAATCTGCATCATGAATAAACATTGTTGTATATTTTTTTAATAGCATGAATCAGGATTTTTGATTAGGATTTTTGTAACTCCCTGACTCACGCCTGGCTTGAATATTTTCCGAAAAGTTTGTGTAGTGGTTTAAATTTTTTGCAATTTTAATTTCATATTTTAAGGTTTAGAAGAGAGATCTAAACACATCATGCATATTAAGAGTTAATGAAGCAATTTCATATTTTTAATATCTAGCCACCCCGAGCGGCACAAGGTGGAGGGTGGTCTCCATATGGAATCCATATGAAAGCCACCTCCACTATGTGGAAAGTAAATGGAGGGTTATTTTTTCATCCTTCATATTGATTCCATTTGGATTCCATATGAACTCCGCTTTTTCTTAAATAAAATACCGAAAAACTCGTGCTTTTGAATTTTTAAAAGACAGAGGTCAGATCTTACTGTAATGGATTGAAATATTGTCGAAAAGCTTTACTGAATCATATTGCTTCATTTCAAGCTTTAAAAAAGCAAAAAAGGATAATTTTTTGTGATTTTGTATGAAATTACATACTTCACAAGCGCATGCAGAAATCACTATTATATGGGGTAGTTTAATTTGTATGAAAATTTTTAATAATTTCTTATGTTTCTCACGCGTGTGATCGAGACTTAGAAATTGCTGTGGTTGCGACTTAATTAAATTAAGTTGTAAATTTTTCAATAGTGTTAGTGTACTTTAATTAAGTCCACTAATACAGCTACAAATCTTGATATAAAAATTGCGAAACATAGAAAAACACGTGGAAAATCGTACCAAAAATCCTTTGAAAAATACTTCCATTAAACCTCCGTTTGACTACCACAAATGGATCCTCCATCCTCCATCAAAACCTCTCAAATGACTTCCATTTGGTGTTAATAAATGCACGTCCCACGGAAGATTTTCGGAGCTTTGGCTCCGTCAAGGTTCCAAGATAGTAAGGTTTTCGGAAGATTTTCAAATGGAGGGTGGAACATGGAGGCTCCGTATAGCTTCCATATGGAAGGCAAATGGAGCCTTTGTGCCGCTCGGGCACTAGAATATCCAGTCTGCAAATATGTGCATATGCTTTTCATTTTTAGATTTATGATTTTTAATAACGAATACAGACGCTGCTTTTGTAACTTTTGTAATAAACTTTTCGGCTTCAAAAAAGAAGTTATTTAATTGTAAGTCTGCAAATACGAGCTTTAAAGATTATTAAGAATTTTTTTTAAAAATATCCAACAATATGCCTGGAGAAAAGAATCTTCTACTTATTTATTTAATTTATTGTTATGATTTGGATGGGGAAAAAATTACAGTGAAGAATTTTCATTAAATATAATTTTCTTTGAAAAAAAATTCTCATGGCTAATTGGAAATTCGTTGTTCTTTTTTGAAAAATGAACGTTGGAAGTCATAAGTGAACCATCTTAAAAGTAGATTTTTAAAAATTAAATTCAAAGGTTTACTTATGCAAGATGCACTATAGTGTTAGAATTCAATTTTTTCGAACTTAACGGCAAGATTTATATTTGCCACCCCTGGAATAAAATAAAATAAATTTTTAAGTGATTTTTATGCCAGTATTAAGCCAGTATTAAGGGGGTTTGAGGTCTGGCTCCGAACCTGCAGATTGCGCAAGTAACATCCCTAAATCAGTAATTTAATGTTCATTCAGTTTTATTTGGGGGCCGTTCACTTATGACGTCCAGGGGGGGGGGGGGGTCAGCAAGAAAAGAACAATAGAAATTCCAGGAAATCCATTGTAAATTTATTATTGTTAAAATACCGAAAATAATTCTGAGGCAATTCACTTATGACGTCCAATTTTTAATGAAATTTTGATTTTCACAATAATTTTCTGACAAAAGGTTAAGAGGGTGGAGGGGAGGCTTTAAATCATATTTTTTGGTGGACATCGTATGTAAATGACCCCTCTGAATGATTGTGATTGGATGTAAACTTTGATTAGATATTTTATTAAAGATTCTTAAGTTTAACACCACAAAATTTTTATTTTTAATTAACTAGAGTGTCATCCTTAGTTGTGTAATACTATTTGGAATTAATGCTTAGTTAACCACAGCAAAAAAAAAACAATTTAACTAATTTAATCTTATTTAATTTTTTTTCTATGATTTTTCACCAAAATTCAACAAAATCAAATCAATTAAAAATAAAAATATCAAAACACCAACTCAAAATCCAAATTATAGATCAAACAAACAGTCGCAAGGGACTCAACGAATGCGAAGTAATTGGATAAGATTATTCTTTTCGCCAAAGCAAATCAATCAGATGCCTGTGGAGCAACCAGAGTCAGTTGTGTTTGATATTTCCGATTAATTTGTCCATATCCATGTCAACTACACAAAATAAATATAAATTTATACAAATAAATACTTACACACAATACTAAGAAATAATCAAAATAAAATTTGATCAAAATCAAACCAAAAAAGTGCGCAAAATATAAAAAAAAATTCATTAAGATTTTTTTTCTGTACATTTGTATCAAATTCATTAGCTTTTATATGTGTACAATTAATTAGACAGACATTTAGATGTGAGCAGGATATTGCTCAATTAGTGTGATGTGTCATTTTGGATTTTTATTCATGCTTATGGATATCTCTATTTTCCTACAATTGATGATTTTATTCTATCAAGAAATTTTATTCATTGATGTTAAATAAATTTTTATTTTTGTTCACAATACAGATAAAATTAGTAATAACATCATTTATTTTGAGTTTATTTATTTGTTCTTGTTATTTGGGCATGTGTAATGTTAATGATCCTTGTAAATATCAGTGAAGTATTGAGCCAATTAATTACATTTCGGGTTAAGATTACCAATAATTCTCACATACTGACACTGTTTAAGCTACATTAAACGTTCCTCACTACGTCGCTGAAAAGATCCTTTCTCTGATATTTTCTTATTAAACTTACTTACTTCACTGGTCGTACTTTGATGACGCTTGATGCTGGCTACCGTTTGCCAATTACCAATTCCAAATTAATTTTCTTATTATAAATCACAAAATTTTGATCTCCATCGAACCTTACATGTTGAATGCCTTGTGATCCTCCTTAGTGTCTCATATTTTTGAGAAGATTTCAAAAATGTCGAATTTTCATAGGAATAAGATAAACGGCCGCAATCAAGCTGATGATGATTAAACTTTCAGAGAAAAAAAATCTACAACTTTAGTCTGATGCATGCTTGTCGAATGACTTCTTTTTGTTTTTGATTTATTAGGGGGAAAACAACATGATAAAAAAATTTCAAATTGAAATTTCCCACCATTTTTCACAGTGGACCTTTAAGTTGTTGTCCCCTTGTGATTAATGCAAAATTATCAATGTTTGTTGATTATTCAATAACATTCTTTTTAAATATCATCAAACAATTACAAAATTAAGATCTGCATGTGTGTCAACCTTTAATGAATTTTACTCATTAACTTCATCAATTTTGCTTAATTAAGTTACTAAATCGCGCATGAAAAAAAGAAAAACTTTTTTCTATTCGTTGAAAAATCTCATCAATGTTGTTGTGGTTGTTATGAATCAAGTCGATATAAAATTAAGTTTTAAAAAAAATAAAGAAAAACTCAAAAAGACGTGAAATCTTGTTTTCTATTTTGCCCCATCATTTCTTAATGTACATGTGTGTTCATTCCATTTTAAATGCATTTTCCTACTGCTCGCATTTTTTTTTCTTTTCACAACAAAAAACTTTCACCATTTTTGGCGTCTTTTAACTTTGTTTTAATTTCAATTTCTTTTCTTTTTTTTTCTTTTCTGTCCTTCCAGCGTACTTTACTTCATTAGTGGCAATTCAATTAAAGTAGAAAACAAGATCATCGATGGTCAAATTGAAAATGGATTGAGCGAAAATAATGAGAAAATGTAATTTTGCAACTTGATGATGATAATAATTAATAGTTTATTGCGTTTCTTTTGTGTCGTAAATTTTTTTATAGAAATATTATTTTATGATTGTTTGGCCTTTAATGAATTCTTTCTGGAAAAAATGGGGTTGTTTTGGATGTTAAACAACGCTACTAGCTGCTGGGGTTAGAGTCTAGTGAAGGAGCATTAGATTGTGAAAATTGGGAGCGGGTTGTGTGCTTTACATTAAAAAACCCGAATGGCACATTGGTTAATTGATCAGAAATTTGGACTCTTGCATGGTGCTGGATTTAAATCGAAGTCAGCAATATGCCAAAGTCATGACGATTGAATGCCTAATTTCTATTGTGTCAATCAAGCCGTGGAAACTCAAGATTACTCCTGAAAAATTCCAAAAATCCTAAAAACTTCCTGAGCCAATAAACATGAAAGTGTGAAATATCTTTAAAATCCTGAAGTTATCATCAAATGAATCAGGGATTACACATTTCAATGTTTATTGGCTTAGGGAGTTTTTTTTGGATTTTTGGGATTTTTCAGGATTAATCCTGAGTTTCCACGCCTTGGTGTAAATGTTTTTTAAAAAAAAAAAAAAATTGAATGATTAAAGGGTCGTTCACTTATGACGTCCACCAAAAAACCTTATTTTTAGACCCCCCTCCCCCCCTCTGTCACAAAAATTCTATAGAAAAAAAATTACATTGTTTGAACTGTCACAAAATCCTAGACCCCCTCCCCCTTAAATGAAGGACGTCATAAGTGAACGGCCCCTAAGATAGTTAAAGCTTACTTAATGGTAGATTGCTATCCTAAAAAGGAGATTGGCACCAAAGTTTGGCTATGTTAATACGATACTGCAGCCCATAACGCTGCCTTGTAATTAACACCATCGATGGAGCACAATTAACAGCATAAAGATAAACGAACTACAAGGAATATTAGCAAAAACTGTCTATACTGAATGTGAAAAATTGTGTAAAATTGTAGCCGAAGGAGGGAGGATTAGGAGCACTTGAAATTGTGTTTCTTTTTAATGCAAAAAAACCCTAGATTCTTGGCTTCGTTGCTGATTCTGGCGTTACTTAACATCCAAATCAACCTTTTAAAGCTTTTATTCTCATGCTTTAAACTATGTTTCTATTTTTTTCTTTTGCACATTTTATGTTGAATACTATGTCGTTACGTTTTAATGTCTCTTATTTACGTCAGGTGAGTAAAAAATTTGTTTTTTGTGCATAACTCGCAGAATTTTATAGTTAAAAAGTTTTCATAGTTATCACGATTATCATATGCATTAAGGATAATATTAAGTCCCGAGCTGTGAATTACTAAAGTGTGGCTAAAGGAATCTTAATCAGTGACTGTTGATTTGGTTCAGACTTTGTTAAAGCATTGGTTTGTTTCAAGTGTGTTCAACTTGATTCTGAGGCTTTTTTTTTGTAAGGGTTCATTTTAGTTTCTAAACTTAAACTCTAGCTCGGAATTGCATATCTCGCTAACATTTTGAATCTCGAACGTAATTTGTATTTTAAGCTTTCCTTCACATCCATTGTAAATAATCCACCGCTCGGGATCCACTTGTAGAGCACTCAGATAATAATATCCATAAAATATTTCCATTTTCATGTTTTGCATTCCATCCGACTGCATCACAGAAATTTTTTGCGGTAATTGTTTTTTGTAGCGATTTTCAATTTTTAATTTTTGCTGATGAATTTTTTAATGCAAAAAATTTAAATTTGTGTTTTGTTGCATTTATTTTTAATGTTTTATACATCCAATGAGGAATTTCATTGGAATTTTTCAATTATTTAAGATTTTTTCCATGGCTGTAGTTTCGATACTTTTTAAAATTTGAATTTTAAAAAAATATTTTAAAACCAAAATTTTGTGAACAATTTTACAAAACCAAATTTTTTTTAGACAAAACTAAAACTTTGCACTTTGACTTTTTTCTTTTGCACTTACGCATTGGCTTTATCAATTTTTTCAAGAGTAAGTAGAATAGATGCTATTATATTTTATAATTTTTGACAATGCTTTAAAGATCTAAACAATCAGACATGAATAATTTTGATACAAAATTTGTAAGAACCAAAAAATAAATAAAGGTACAGTGTACTTATAGAATAGAAATAGAAAAAGAAACTTCAACTTTAATGCACGGAAGATGACTAATTATTGTTTTTGTTTTAATAAAAATGAGAATTAAATTTTGTTAGAGTATGTCAGGCAACTAGAGATAACATAGAAATGAAGATGAGTCTCGAATGTGCTTTGAATGTTGAATTTTAATTGAGTTCTTCATAACGGAGATGATAAAGGAGAATCAACTTTGTTAATTAACTCTATTACAAAGTTAAAAGTTGACAATGATTTTATTTAAAATTTTCAATTTTCTGCGTTTATGAGGAACATATTAAGTTATGAATCTACACGCAGATGAATTTGTATACCTCGATAACATATGCTTTAAATTGTTGTACAAAATTCTTTGCATTTAACCCCACCCTCAAAATGTTTTCTAAACGCAATTTTAACTTTTAATCTTGCCAAGCTACTCAGCAGCTTTTGATAGCCCATTGTTAAATGTGCGTTGTCTAAAATCTTAAACACGCGGGTTCGATTCCCTTTTGAGACAATTAGTCTAGAAATTTATTTTTTTAAAAAAATAAACTTTAGCATTCAGACCCTAAAATCCATATAGCAGCGTGTTACAAGGCTACTGATAGTTTAACAAGATCTCCATCTCAAACCTAGACCTTCAGTTGTATAGTGGGATCCGAAACACTCCTTTGATGACATTTCTGCCTGTAGCCTCCAAAGGAAGTCCGTGAGCCTCATTTCCAGCAAATATGATTCGAAAAAGGACAAGCGCTTGATTAAACACAATCAAAGCATAGGTCAGGATAAGTTCAAAACAAGGATACGAAACAACGATACGGAAATTTTTCACTTGTCCGTTTTTGAATCATATGTACTGGAAATGAGGCTCACAGCCTTCCTTTGTAGGCTCTTGGCAAAAATGTCATCAAAGGAGTGGTTCGAATCCCATTTTAAATTGTAGGTATAGATTTGAGTGCAGTGGTTTGGCGCATCCGAATAGGCAAAGGTATTTTTTTAAGTCTTGTAATGCTTTTAACATGCAGCTATGGAGCTTAAGGTCTAAAAAGTAAAAATTTAATTTTTTATTTATTTATATCCAGTCAAAGTTAATTCTCCTTAATAATTAAGCAAGCGATTTAGCAGTAATTATAAGACCTTCATGCTACAAAACAAAAAAAAAGGTAGCTTTAACTTGAAATTAAAAATTTTCAAGCAATCTGAATCCATATCAAACACTCTTCACATATTCTTTTCCATTTATTTTGCTTGTACATCATTTTCATTAATTAAAATAAATTTTATTTTTCTCGAATTTATCCATCTTGTCAATGGACATATGTTTCAACTTTTGGCCATTATAAATGGATAACAATAAAAACATTATTATTGCTTGACTTACAGATCGAATTTCTCTTTTTTCTTCTCTTTATCTTCCTTCTTTTCTCTCTAATTTCAGAACAAATGTGTGATTTATAGTGAAAAATAAAT